AATAAAATGAGAGTTCATTATCACTATTGGTGAACAATCCATTTTAATTAATGTGGTTCTGTCAACTTCGTAGTATAATAAATCACACGATCAATACGTCAAAAACTTATCTTGATGGAGGAATTCATTATTACTATTGTTGAGATTCATTTGTTATTAGGCAAACACTTTCATTAAAATAATAATATGTGAGTCTCTTAACCACTGCATGAAAAATTGGATAACTAATACACCAATAACTTATTTGATTGGCGAAGTTTGTTATTGTTATTGGCGTGCAAATTTGATCATTTTCATATCTCTTAAGACAATGCCTTGTCTATATATATATGAAATGATTCCTGATTATGTTTAACCTTTCTAAAATCACCTAATGTAGACAACTCCGTTGGGGAGCTAACACTATTAATTTTAGATTGAGTGTATAACGTTTTTAATACTTTAATAAAAAATAAAATATTAAATATCTTGTCATTATAATCTAAATTCTTTAAATCATGCGTAGGACCTTATTTTTAAAGATCTAATTACAATAAATATTTAATATTTTTATTTTCATGAGACAATCATTTTTGTAATATTAAAATTCTTCAAATCATGCGTGGAGTCTTATTTTTGAAAATCTAATTATAATGGTTATAATAACGAAAACCATGGGGTAATGTATAAAAATCCCTGCTCCCACTCAATTTTTAATTATTTATAATTAGGGTTTTTAATTTATTCATTTACATGATATAATGCATGCAAAACGCCTTGATATTAATCCAATTAAATTTAGAAAATATTTGAACTTTAAATGATTCACTAATATTTAATTTGAGACACATTTTAAAAATAATCTGCAAAAATAATTTTTCGTTTCCTAATAAGTGCCCTCTAATTAATTAGTAATCAAATTTAATTAATTTTCATAATTTAATTAACATAAATCAAGTGATTTAGATAAAAATCGTGGATCTAATACATGAACAATAATTAATTAACAATTATTTATTCCATGCATTTCTTACGTTAAATAAATAAGTAAATGACAAATAAAGCATATAAAATGGCCAATGGATTTAGTTTTTAATATTTAATTGCTCTAATAATTGCACGAGGGACCTCCAACGGCTTGCAAACACCCGCAGGAGGCTGGTACGCGCCTGGAGAAACAAAACAGCACTTAGGATGTGCCCGGAGGGACCTGTATGTACTGGCACTCGCCAGGAGGGAGCTTCAGCCCGTGGCACGCACCAGTGGGAAGCTGCAACGTGTGGCACGCGCTGCCACGCGCCATGTGTATGTTGCAGCGCGTGGCACGCGCTGCCTCACGTTGGCTGTAGCTAGAAGCGCTGGCGTGTGGGCCTCACGTGCCAGATGGTTGGTAGGCGCACCGTAGGCGCGCCGCATGGGATCCTACCTTCTGTCGCCTTTTGATCCAACGGTTGTGGATCCTGTTGCACCAAATGATGGTGCAACGCGAATCATGGGATCAACCATCATCCCTTCCAGCGTTGCCTTGCCGCCGGGGACCCTCCAGCCTTCGGAAAACCACTAGAAATCCAAAAAATTAAAATTAAATTCCAGAGATCAATTATTTGGCTCAAAAAATTCTGGAAAAATTCCAGAAAATTCTTAATGCCAAATTAAACCCTCTTGGACCTTCTTGAAGCTTCATAGCATCCTTTGATGAAGATTACATGACTTTAATAAATATTTACAATTTGAAATACATGGGAAAAAATAAAATTACATCATTGAACTTTCAAACAGCTAAATCAAAGCCTTAATTACATTCATCCAAAGATAAAATTACATTCAATGAATCTATAAATTTCATCCATGACCCAAACATACATCATCATCCATTCACAAATATACATACATCATGATCATATATTCAAATATACATATGCATATATAAGTTTGGATCCATGAATGATAATTTTCAGAAAAACATGATCTCTAGTAATGAATCAAACTATACTCTGATACCACTATTGGGAAACGTGCAAGTTTTAAAAGCTTTCTGAGGAATTTTCATACATAGATCTTGATTCATCACATAGAGACAAGTTTTATACAAAAAATAAAATATGATGTATCATTCAATTTAGGGATTGAATACTTACATCAAAGGTTTGAATAAACCTTTAAATCTTTCCTCTAAAGTGAATGTTCTCACTTATGTAGTTACCTTTACTAGATGTCTTCTCCTTGGATCTCCATCTTCTCGGTAATAGGTTTGTCTTTAGGAATTACACATAAGCCTCCATGAATGTCCTTAGAAAAATAGGCTTGTGGGAGCCTCCATTAGATGAGAACATGAACCCTAGAATTCTAGAGAGAGAAAATATATTCCTTTTTCTTTCAAAAGTCTCTCCTAAAATATACATTGACCATGTATATATAGACAACATAAAGATAAGGAAAGGAAACAATAAATCCTTCTCAATCTCTAATTTCCATATTTCAAATCTAATATGATTCCAATATCAAGTTCGGTTATGAGTGAGAATTCTTTGGACTTATTATTTTCTTGGTTACAATGAATTAATAATTGACCCAATCCATGTACCCAATTCAATTAATTCATAAATTAATTTCTACTCTACTAAAAAAAAATAATTGAACTCCAATTACATAATAAATAACTTCTAAGTCAATATTGTTCTTTGACACCTATATGCATAATTAGTTATCGGATAAATAAAGCCATCAATCCGACTACTTAATTAATATATTTATTTTGGTACCTTTAATTATTTCCAGTTTGATCACAATAAAATATTTGTTTGACAAAAATAATAATTTAAATAAATAAATATATAATAAATCATTTTGTCTAAAACACACGAAGGTCTTCGAATTTACTTTGTGATCAAGCATAATCAATACAAAATAAATACAAATAGCAACGATGCAAATATTGAAAATATAGCCTTCTAACTATTAATTACATAATTACCCAAAGTGTTGGTCTAAGGATTCCGAAGATTACGCCGAACAAATCAAAGTAATTACTAATTAATAAAAGAGTCTATACTTCTCTCATGCTTAAGAGTCAAATGTCATGACGGTGATAGGGAACAACTGCATATGACAGCTCTTGCAATATATCTCAACCTAACACAGATCTAGTTCAAGTCTTAGTTAATAATAAGTCTATCCATAATTACCGACTATAAACTATTTATGATTATCATTTATATTCATGTATTGATCGCTATTACATACATATATAAATATTTCTTGTAATCAAGTGGACATTATCAATTCCATAATGAATTGAAATATAATACATTGAATTCACCAATTATATAAATCATAAATATTTCAGATATGTCAGGAACATATATCACTATAATTCAAATAGGAATTTGCTATGCCGGGCATATAAATCCTAACAACATTAACATAACAAATATAGCGGCTTCATGAGCACAGCCTTTTTCGACAAGTTTTGTAAGTACAGAATGGAAAGTAGATGTTTTAGCAAGATGGGAGCTCTTCAACATCTTCTCTGTCGTTTAATGGGCAAGAGTGGGATCACCCTTCTGCAATAGGCCATCAATTAGGGATTCACAAGTCTCGACATCAGCCAAAATGTACCTTCCCTGCAATGTCCCATGATCGAAGTCTTGTAAGACGGAGGATCCTGGATTCTTCTTTTCATCAGCTGCCTAAACACTATTTCAGCATTCTTTGTCTTCCCATTTTTACACAAATACTCAAACATTGGGTTATATGCTGCAACAAGAGGTGTGCAACCAACAGCATGCAACAAAATCTCCTTCTCTGCTAGCTAATTAAACAACTCCTCCACCCTCACAAAATCCCCTCTTTGACACAAACTCCGAATCAAAACACTCTAAGTAGCTGAATCTGGTTGGACTCGCAACTCGATCTGCCATTTTCTCAAATACTTCTAACGTTTCATCCAAATTTCCCGCACTACAATGAGCATTCATCAACGTGTTGAAGGTACACGTGTCGGGAACAAATTCTCCACCCCCTACAGTTCCCTCAAAAATTTGCTGTATCTTGTCAAGCTCTTGGGCTTCACAAAGCCCTTGAATAAGAGTGTTACAAGTAATTCTATTTGGCTTCAGCCCTGGTGCAACCATATCTTTGAAAACATCCAGAGCCTCAGTGATACCTTGTTTTCCACAATACCCTCTAATCAAAGTTTTGTAAGTAACAACATTAGGATTCAAACTCGAGCTCTTTTTTAGCATACCTCTCAACACATTGTGCACGATTTTGACCTTCCCAGACCTACAAAGCCCATCAACAAGTGTATTATAAGTTATAACATTAGGTTCACATTTTTAATTCGACATTTCTTTGAAAAATCGAAACCCTCTATTAACCATTGAGTTCATACAAAACCCCCTTATCAAAATGTTAAATGTGTATGTGTCCGGGGTAACACCATACGTAACAAGCATTTCATCATACACCTTGAGTGCCATAGTAGTTCGACCCCGTTGAAGCAAAATAGACAAGAGACTATTGAATGTGACAACAGAAGGCGAAATGCCAATCGACTTCATCTTCGAGAACACCTCGATTGATTCTTGGAACAACCCAGCTCGACCATAACTCCGAATCAAGCTGTTAAAGTACTTGTCTTCGAGCTTAACCGTCCCGCCGGACTTCTTCTCGATCGAGAACAGGAAGTTTCGAGCCGCATTGAGGTTCCGCTTGCGGCCGAGGATTTCAATCATCATGAAGTACGATTGATCGTTGTGGGCGAAGCCCTTTTGGTGGATCCAGTTGAAGAAGTAAAGGGCTTTGGATGGGGTTCTAATGAGCTGGAGAGTCTGGAGGACGGTCGTTTTAGAGAGAGAAGGAGAGACGGAAGAGAGAGAAGATTCGAGGTCAGCTGACCAAGGATTGTAGTTGATGAGACGTGCCATTTTTCGGGGGCTTTTGGTTTTGGTTGATGATCTATATTGGGGTCTTTATCTTCGCCGCCATTGTCGTCGTTGGTGTCACCGTCATTGGTTTGTTCAGAAGAGAAGTGCCTCGAAGATGAAGGAAGCTGAGATGGGTTGCGAGAGGTGCAACAGGAAATGGGTTCCAAGAATCACAAACGGAAAAACAACTTCTTCTTCGTATTCTGAAAGCATGGTAGAACCATAAACATAAACAGTTGATGGATCCATTTTTTGAATTCCTATAGAAATTATTCAAATTTCGTTATAAAGTCTCAATCATGACAAAAAGATAATAATTTCTCTAGATACCAATACCATTCTTCCAATGAATAGATCTGGATCCAATTATCTGAATATAAATGGAAAAAAAAAAAAAAATTAATAATCTGAATTAAATACTCTTTTACCTAATAAATTGGATATGAAACCGTAGCTAATCGTTCAATTAAAATTCTATATATATATATATATATATATATATATATATGCATATATAATTTTACATTACAATATATAGTAATATATATGGATGTTATATATATATATATATTATTTACCAATATATTCGTTTGATTAAGTTATTTTATGCACCATCCTATATATTAACTAAACTCTAGTCCATCTATCCTCATAATTATACATATATATACATGTTAGTGAATATAATTTTAATCAAAATTCAATTTAATCCAAATCCGAACTAAATAGGATATGAATTGAAACATTCAATTCGATAATTTGTTGGTGACTCGAATTTGATAATTCGTTAGTTTAATAAATCGGATATGAATTTGATCGATTTCGTTGACAGGTATATGAATGACTTGTCAAATTGAATCAATAAATTATAAAGTATTTACAAGGAATTGCACAAAATAATGTTAATTATCATTATTATTTTACCTTTGGATATAGAATAAAAATTTTCATTTAAACGCATTGATAAAATCCACTTTGAATTAATTGATTAGTAATAATTTGTTCCCAATGTTTTTGTACCTTTTCTCTCCTTCAAAGGCATAACAGGCTTAACAGCTCATGGTGTTCCATTTTTGTTAGATCTAATTAGGACTGTATAGTATTTTATGGGACTTAGATAAATTTAAAAAAAAAAAATTAAATGATTTAAATCTTTTTATGAAATATGAACAGATAGTTGAAGAATGATAATATTTTATAGTAATGGTCAAAGATCTTATGGTGGCTTAGTTTGGGGCCCAGTCCGAGCTGGCAAAAGATGGCAGTTTTTTACTACTAAAAGATAGGGTAAAGTACAGTCATATTCCTGAGGTTTGACAAAAGGACATCTAGAGAAAACTTACCTATTTTTTGGACAAAGATACCCCTTGAAGGTTCAAAAATGGATAAAACACCATTTTATATGAAAAATTGACTAAATTACCATTTGACTATTTAGGAGACTTTTTTAATTTTACAATTTAATAAATTGGACCAATCTACTCTCATGAATAATTTATGTATAAAAAAAATTTAAAAAAAACTTTAAATTGTGTACCTTTTTTTTATATATATATATTTACTTTATAAATGTCCCAACTTCTTAAAAATGTAGACTTCTAAAATGATTTTTTGATCCAATACATATATTTCAAATAAATTATATTTTGTTATTAATTCTTTTTCTTTTTTATTTTTAAATTAAGATGTTTAATTCTTCCATCTAAAAAAAATTAAATCAATCTTTTTTTCCTTAAAAATAAAAAATATAGTACCAGTATAACTTTATACATCTTAAATTATATATCAAATATTATGCATTTCCCAACATAAAAGAAAATAGGTACCAGTATAACTTTATGCATGCCTTCGTTTTTATTATTATTATTATTATTATTATTATTATTATTTCCCTTTGTTTCCTCCCCCGCGCCCCCCCCCCCCCCCCCCAACATAAATAAAGTTATACTTGTACCATATTTTTTATTTTTAAAGAAAAGAAATTCGTTTAATTTTTTTAAATGAAAGAATTAAGTATCTTAATTTTAAAATAAAAAGAAAAAGAAAAGAAGTAATAACAAAATATAATTTATTTGAAATATATGTATTTGATCAAAAAAATTATTTTAGACATCCACAATTTTAAGAAGTTGGGACATTTATAAAGTAAAAAAAAAAAAAAAAAAAAGACGATAAAGTTTTTTTTATTTTTATTTTTTATGCATAAATTGTTCATGAGGGTAGATTAGTCGAATTTATTAAATAGTAAAGTTAAAAAAGTCTCATAAACGGTCAAAGGGTAATTTGGTCAATTTCTCATGTAAAGGTGTGTCTTTGTCCATTTTTAAACTTCAGTTGTGTCTTTGTCCAAAAAATAGGTAAGTTGTTTTTAGTGTTCTTTTATCAAAACTCAAGGAGTGTAACGGTACTGTATCCTAAAAGATATTAGTGGATGGGGGCAAAAAAAAATAGAAAGTTGGGTATGCCTTATATGTTTCTTTTTAAAAAAAAATGGTATTTCTAAAAGAAAATTCGGATCAGTATGTTTCATTTCTGATGTGCGACAAAATTTCTTTTACGTTAATTTAATTTAATTTAATTTAAAATTAAATTTCTTAATAATTTTTCAAGCAATGTCGACAAAATTCATTTTACTTACAAAATAAAATTAAATTTCTTAATAATTTTTCAAGCAATGTCGACAAAATTCATTTTACTTACAAAATAATAATAATGGCCCAATAGTTAAGAAGAGTGGGATCAACGTAGTGTAGGAATGAATGCAAAAAGTTCAAATACATAAAGTAGTAGAAATACAAATGCACAAAAGCCCAATTTTTCAAAATTGTCGGTCACGTTCAAAACTGTAGCTAAAGTTGGAAAAGTCCCCAAAGCACTTTATTCAAACTGGATCCATCTTTTCTCACCTCCATCAGATCTTTGACCATCTTCTCAACTATGATCCTTTCACGAGTATCTTTCATATCCAAACCAACTTTCCAAACCTCACCAGGGTTAAGATATACTAAAAGATGGTTGTAGGGGAAATGAAGGAGGAGGAGAAAAAAAACAGTGATATGAATGAAGAGAAATTTTACATATTTTGTCAATCTGATCCTAAAAAGAGTAGATGTAGCATAACTGAATATTATCTTGACGATACTAATCTAAAAAGAACAAAAGTACGTACATATATATATGTTTAGTTTTCCAAACACACACACATAGTTGTTGATTTTCTTTTATTACTATGTTTAGTTTTTCGAATGCTAATTTTTTTAATTTGATTTGATATGATATGTACTCAGGTCAAAAATTTTGTAATTTCTCGAATTAAACGACAAAAACATGAAGAAAAGAAGGTGCAATGGAAGTGGCAGCAACGGTAATGCAACCCGCGCAGAGACCTGCAACGCGATCACAGAAGCCGTCAAACCCAAAGTATCAGTAATGCAACACAACGTGATCGAAGCAGCAATGGAACCGAAGTAATAGTAATACAACCAGAAGACTGCAACTTGATCAAAGAAGAAATCGAACCCGAAGTAACGATCAAGCAACGAGAAGATTGCAACTTGATCACAGAATGAATCAAACCAGAACCAATAGTCTTACAACCAGAAGACTGCAACAATTGGGTTGTCTTGCAACAGGACCACTTTCTCTCCCTCATCTTTGATCCTCAACTTTTCTTCTGCTAAAATAAATGGGTGAGCTTCTAATACTTGGTTGAGATTTGCTTTGCCACCACTAGCTAGTATGTTGGCATTGCTCGACCAATTCAGTGCACACACTTTTTGACGTTCACTAGAATTCTCAATAATATCCTGATCAACGCCATAAGAGAGCAGAAATTAAGCTGGCTAACTCCTCATAATTTCAGGTGTTGGACTAGAGGAAGGAGAGACTATTCCATGCAATAGCTCCTGCTCTGTCTGAGGCCATGTAAGCTTTCATTCTGCTAAACACTTTTAATCTTTTAGATTCAGACAACTGAAACCAGCTTTTACAGTTTCTCGTGAACAAACTTTTTTAGAAAGAAGAAAAAAGATCGAAGAGGAAAAAGACAGTAAAAGCTTGTGGCTGTATCTGTGATTTCTTTATTTAACCAATTTCTGCACCTTTGAGGTTTATAACAGTTTACCATAGATTTAATTATATATTTGCCAAAAAAAAAAGGAAGGATAATAACAATGGATGGTAGTTATAAGAAATAATATAATATTAAAAACTATAAAAATAAATCAGACCCTTGTGAGTTGAAAGGGTGATGGAGGATCACAAAGAGGTGACCTGTGGTTGAAAGGGGGTTTTTTTATTTTGGAAGTGTAACTGTGTAACAACTCAAATGGGCAGAGAGATTGAGACTGGGTTAATCCATTTAAAATTGTTTATATTCAATTTTTACTTTTTGAGATAACTGTCAAATTTTTATTACTCACTTAATTTACATAATTTACAGGACATAATCTATTCTGATCAGACGGGACCAATATTAATTACAGGATATAATAGAAGAAAAGTGATCAACAAAATAAAAATTCATACTTACTTATTTTTTGAAAGCAGTTGAGTTTACAGAGGACAAGCTTCAGCAATCAAAACATTCATAAATTTGATATCCTGAATTAAACGGTTAAAATCCCTCAACGATGACCCACCTTCACTCACACTTTTCTTGGCCAACTTGGCCATCTCATCCGCCGAGCTCACCAACTCATCTCTCCTCACCTCCATCAGATTGTTGACCATATTCTCAATCACGACCCGATCACACGTGTCTTTCATGTCCAAACCCACCTTCCACACCTCGCTCACAAACCTACTATTGACTTGCTGGTCAACGCCGGCCGGCCAGCAAATCATCGGCACTCCGGCGACTATACTCTCCAGTGTCGAGTTCCACCCACTGTGGGTAAGAAAACCGCCAACCGCTGGGTGGGCCAACACCTCCTCCTGTGGGGCCCATCTCGTTATGTACCCAGATTCCTTCTTTCCCTCGGAGAGCTCCGCCGGAATCTGCCGATCCCCATCTTCACCGGCGACGGCGTTCGTCCGTATGACCCACAAGAATTTCTTCCCACTGTTCACCAAACCGTGCCAAAACTCCATGAGGTCGTCCCTTGTCGTGACTAAGAGACTCCCAAAGCTAACATAGACCACTGATCTCAACGGTTGAGCATCGAGCCACGTCATGCAGTCCCTGTCTTCTTCCCAGAAACTGTTGGAGGATGCCGGCGGCGACGACGACGTTTCTTCTGCGAGATTGGTTTTGTGGAGGTTGTGGATTGGTCCGATGGAGTAGAGGTTTGGACAGAGAGAGCGAATGTGAGAAAGTGTGGGTTCTTCTAAATCTTGAAAGGTGTTGAGTATGATTCCATGGGCTTTTGGGAGTTGTCTGGTCTCCGATAAGCTAATTTGTATTTGGGTGTCGGAGATGTCACCGCTACGGCAGAAGGCCGGAAGATCACGGCGCCGGAGAAAACCTTCCATGCCTGGTACACTTTTTATAGGAGTGTCCAAGTTATTTCCTACATCAAATGGTGTACACGAATGATAGGTTAGATTAATGTAATGACTTACTGGAGTAGCTTGGTTAGTGAGAAAAGTTATGTAGATGTGAAGTTAAAACGTTTGCTTCTCTGTAGTCTATCTATGCTAGGGGATGCACACAAAAATCGTTAAAAAAATTTTTTGGAATTTTAAGCAAATATATAAATAAGAAAAAGGATAAAATCGTTAAAATTGATAAAATGAACTAGACCCCTGAAATCCTAATGTATTATTTGTTATTTTTAATTTTGGATAACCTGAGTATGACAGCTTAGACGTGACTTTAAGTTATCATAAGTTCCTAACGAATATCAACCTAAACTTTGGTATTAGTAAGCACATAAGGCCAGGTGATTTTAACAGTAAGTTGGGATTGGAAATCCTACTGTTGCATCCCTTAAATAAATAAATAATAATAATTTAAAAATAAAAAAAAAAAACTGTCTAAGCATCTTCCCAATAACAAAACTGGCAATAAATTTACTGAAATGGAAGAAGCTAATTGACCCACCTTTGAACGGAAACTCGCCAGCTTCTATGAGCTTGGGAAGACACAGATAAATCCAGATGCAGCAAGGACTGAGAGTATCAAAATAAATGACAGGAATTCCATTTTCTTTTGCAGTATCAAGTACAAAATCAAAGATACCATCTGCTATAACGCACGTTACCGGCCTTTCGGTGTCCGAACTGGGTCCACCGGAAGTTAGCATATCTCGGAGAAGTGGCTTGGTTACGGCTACAAAGGCATCAAACATGTCCAGGAATCTATCGGCGGTGCGCGGGTGATCTTCCGGGAGCCCGTCGGAAACGGTTTGGAAACGGAAAGATGGGAATCGAGCGAAACGGGAGTGAATGTGGGTGTGCCGTAGGAGACGACGGTGGACATGATCGGTGTTGAGGAAGGTGACATTGATGCCGGCGAGGCTGAGAAGCTCGGCGAGCTTGAGCATACAGTTGACTGGGCCTTGAAGCGGTAGGGGGATGATGATTACATGAGGTTGGATGGTCTTTTCTTCCATTGCAGTTTCAACTGTATTTCAATTGGAGTTTCTCAATTCTGCACGGATTAGCATGTTATAAATAAATAAAAACGGAGTAAATAAAATTTAAAATAAAATTTTCTTCAGTCTGATCAGTTGACCTTGGGATTATTGATTGAACAAGCAACATTGTTGCGAACAGTAATTGTTGGACAATGTGCTTGTTTAGTGGGGAGGAAATATAAATTAAAACAAGTAGACCATGTGAAATTACTGTAAGAGTATTTTTAATATTGGTTAGTCTCATGAATCTACGAAAATTTATGATATATACCCCTATGTTATTTAGTACCGATGAATATATTGCGACTCTTTTTCTTTTATCAAGTCGACTTCACAATGGACAATTTGAGTTGTAATATAGTATGGTGTCACCCTACCCAAAATTATTATAGCATTGTGGTGATGTATTACGTGAACCTAATGACAAAGCAAAAGCATCAGTGCTTTTTACTTATCATATTTATGTATATTTTTTTTGAGTCTTTTTTGTGTGATAGATAGCTCACACATATTCATTGGACACTTGAATCCTTAATATTCCTGGTATAGAAGTTTACATGGATGTTCCATCGGGATACACTATATCTTCAAGTACTGAAGTTGTGTGTAAGCTGCAACGGGCATTGTATTGGCTAAAACAATCACCTCGGACATGGTTCGGATGATTTAGCTTGGCTATGAGAAAATATGGTTTCAAACAGAGTAACTCGGATCATACTCTTTTCTTTAAAAACTGACAAGGAAAGGTAACAGCCCTAATAATTTATGTGGATGACATGATTATCACAGGGGATGATGTGGAAGAAATCTCTAAACTTCAAAAGCAATTAGCTGTCGAATTCAAAATGAAGAACCTAGGTGGACTTAAATTCTTTCTGGGAATAGAGGTAACTAGATCGAGACAAGGCATATTTCTTTCTCAAAGAAAGTATGTGTTACATTTGCTATCTGAAGTGGGTATGATTGATTGTAAGCCAGCTGACACACCTATGGTTCAGAACCATAAACTTGGAGAGCATTCGAATCAGGTGCCAACCAATAAAGAGAGGTATCAAAAACTAGTAGGTAAACTAATCTACTTATCTCACACTCGCCCAGATATTGCTTATGCAGTTAGTGTAGTGAGCCAATTCATACACTGTCCCAGTGAAGATCATAAGGATGCAGTGATTCGGATACTTTGTTACTTGAAATCCGCATCAGGGAGAGGGCTTATGTTTTCTAAGAATAACCACCTTAACATTAATGGTAATACAGACACCGACTGGGTAGGGAATGTTACCAATAGGAAGTCTACATCTAGCTACTTTACCTTTTGGTCACATGGAGGAGTAAAAAACAGAAGGTAGTGGCATTGTCCAGCGCTGAAGCCAAGTTCAGAGGTATGGCTAAGGGACTTTGTGAACTCCTTTGGCTTAGAAGATTGATAACTGATATTGGCTTTTCCCTTAGCACTGAAATGAATCTATTTTGTGATAACAAGGTAGTTATTGACATTTTTTATAATTCTGTCCAACATGATCGTACGAAGCACATTAAGGTGGATCGACATTTCATTAAACAGAATCTTGAAGAAAAAATAATTCGGTTTCCATTTGTCAGGTCTGAAGATCAACTAGCAGATATACTTACAAAGGTCGTTTCCAGTAAATCCTTCCACAGCTCTCTTAACAAGTTGGGCATTAGGGATATCTATGCACCAACTTGAGGGCGAGTGTTGGCGTGAGCTATCTAACAGATCAGTTTGGAGTGATTATAGGGATAGTTACCTTAGTTGTATTTTCCAATCCCATGTTTTTTGAGTCAACGTTGATACTAGCCTTAAATAGAAACTAGCCTAATTGGTTTCCCAAAACTGTCACTATATATTGATATATATATGTTTGTATTCTGTAAGAATGAGATACAATGAAATATATTCCCAATTCTCTATAATTTTTCAAAAAGATAATTGTACGGGTAATGAAAAGGAGGGGAAAAAATAGTGATAGAAATGAAGAGAAATTTTACATATTATGTCAAGTCTGATCCTAAGAAGAGTGGAGGGAGCATAACTGAATACTATCTTTGCTGCACTAATTTGGAAAGAGCAAAAGTAGTTTAGTTTTCCAAACACACACACATAGTTGTTGATTTTCTTTTATTACTGTGTTTAGTTTTTCAAATACTAATTTTTTTATTTGATTTGATATGGTACGTACCCAGGTCAAAGATTATGTAATTTCTTGAATTAAACAACAAAAAGAGGAAGAAAAAGAAGGTACGATGGAAGTGGCAACAACGTTAATACAACCCACAGAGGCCTGCAACGCGATCATAGAAGCCGTCAAACCTAATGTATCAGTAATGCAATACAACGTGATCGAAGTAGCAATTGAATCCAAAGTAACCGTAATATAACTAGAAGACTGCAACTTGATAAATAAAAAAAAATCGAACCCGAAGTAACGGTCAAGCAACAAGAAGATTGCAACTTGATTATAGAAGGAATCGAACCGGAACCAATGGTCTTGCAACTAGAAGACTGCAACGATTGGGTTGTCTTGCAATAGGACTGTTTCTCTCCCTCGTCTTTGATCCTCAACTTTTCTTCTTCTAAAATAAATGGGTGAGCTTCTGATACTTGGTTGAGATTTGTTTTGCCACCACTGGCTAGTATGTTGGCATTGGTCGACCATTTCAGTGCACACATTTTTTAACGTTCACGTGGATAATAGAAGTCTCAATAATATCCTGATCAACTCTATAAGAGAGCAGAAATTAAGTTGGCTAACTCCTCATAATTTCAAGTGTTAGACTAGACTAAGGAGAGACTATATTTGAGTAAATATCATAATGGAAGAAGATAACCACACATCTGAAAAGAAAGCCGTGAATTCTTCAATGGTGTCAAAGGCAAATGTAGTGGAAGCTGGACAGAAGAATAAGAAGAGGAAGTACTCTAGCGAAGGTCCCAGCCAAGGAAACTAGAACAGGCTCACTGGGAAGTGCTTCATATGCGGCAAGCTAGGACACCGAGCTAAAGACTGTCGTAGCCGCAAAGCACAACACAACCCCAAGAAAAAGACCATTGAGGTGCACATTGATAAGGAAGATAAGTTGATAATTGATGTATCAGAGCTAAATCTTTCAGTTGTGGTTTCTGAAATCAACCTCGTGAGCAACAATAGAGAATGGTGGGTGGACACAGGAGCTACTCGTCGTGTTTGCTCTGAAAAGAGGATGTTCACTACCTATGAAGTTATAGATAATGAAGAACAACTCTACATGGGGAACTCTTCTACTGCAAAGGTTGAAAGACAAGGAAAGATCAAGCTACTAATGACCTCAGGGAAAGAGCTCACTCTTAATAATATGTTGCATGTACCAAACATCAGGAAGAACTTGGTCTCTAGGTCACTTCTAAGCAAGAATGGGTTCAAGCTGGTCTTTGTATCTGACAAGTTTGTGCTGACTAAGAATGGGGTGTATGTGGGCAAAGGGTATCTAAGTAATGGACTTTTCAAATTCAATGTGGTGCGACCGAGCGTGTGCACAAAATAATGCACAACACTTTAGGTTTAGAAATAATGTCAAGTGGGCACCATATTTTAAAATTTATAAAACCACTAAACACTTATACTATGGAGTATGAAGTGAGCAGGGATCGTCCCAAGAGATCTAAACAATTATAGGTTTTCCAGAATTGAATTATACTTTAGTACTTCTGTGATTGCCAAAAGGGTTTTGTTTGTGATTAAAACTAATTTTAAACTAAATGATTGCAATAAAGAAATAGAGTTTAAGAGATTGGAAAGAGACTTAGGGTGTAGGATTCACCACTAAGCACATTCCCTAACTCACTCACTTTCAACTAATTGGGGAAATAATACTATGTAATCTATATGTGGCTAACAAGAGCAATGAAAAGTGTAAACCATCAATTTCAAGCATGAATCAACTACCTAATGACAATTAAACTAAGTGTAGTGCAATTCACCCATTCAAAGCATGATTTATCAATCCAAGTTACAAATTTAACACACATTAATCTAGAAGATAATGCAATTGTGACAAAAAGTATGGAATTCAAACATAAGTATGGATGGTCTACTTACCTAATAATTGAATTGCAATTAAATTAATTAAACTTAAATTAAACTAATTAGACATGAATTTAAAACTAATTAAACAACAAATTAACCTAAACATGTAGTACCATCCATCAAATGTAAGCATTTTTCATCAATTTGAAACACAATTACAACTAAGCAATACCATGCATAGCCATCACAAGAATCAATTAACAAAGAATTCGTGTGTAAAATTTGTTTATCAATCAACCGCACATAAGACAATATGAGATTAATACAGATAATCAATTGGAAGAATTTAATTCATAATATTCAAGACTATACACTAATTACATAAATTAATCCCCAAAAAGTATGAAAAGAGAGAGAGAATAGGTTACATGCTTAGGGTTTATCCAACCCTAAGTAGAAGAATCAGCCACTCATGGTTGATGGAGTCGAAGATAGGACAATCCCCATCATCTGCTTCATCTTCTCTGAACTTTTCTTCCAAACCCTAGCCTGTTCTTCTTTTTCCCTTTCTTCGCGTGTTTTTCCAGAGAGAAAATACGATACTACGATACAGAAAAATAAATAAAATAAAACTCTCTTTTTTTTCTAATAATCTTTACCTAAATAAAAACTAAAACTAACCCTAATCTAATGGCTCACTGGGCCTTAAGTAACAATCTCATTAAAGCCCAACAGTTCCCAAAATGAGCCCAAAAATTAAATAAAAACTGTAATGTTGCTAAGTCCTGGGGGATCGATCCCCCACCCTGGGGATCGATCCCCCCAGAGTTGAAAATTTCCTTTAAGCCCTATTTAGCTCCATTTTAGCCCCGAACTCATTAGTTTGCTTCTTCATCTTTGGGAACATCATCAAAAGCCTGAGATTGACCGCTTTTGAAGAATAAACACACTATACGAGCAATGGGCTGCGACCTCCTTTTTGCCATTTTCTGAGCTTTTTCTGAATATCTTTGATTGA